AAGGAAGGTACATGAGACATGTATACAGAGGCTGATGCATGGTACTGGTTGTACTGATGACATTCACCTCCCATTGTAGTACTTGGAGCATCTTCTGCTCTCCAGAGACTCCATCTGCCCTCCACAGTCTGCCTATCCTCACTAGACAACTTTCGTCTTGGTGATGTCTGTTGTCTTGAATCCTCTACACAACACTTTTTTCCCTCCTAGTTTCAAATTTCTATCCCCCCACCCTTGAGACAGGGTTTCTCTGTGCAGCTTTGTGCTTTTTCTGTAACTTACTCTGTAGCCCAGGCAGGCCTTGAACTCATAGAGATCTGCCTGCTTCTACCTCCCGTGTGCTGGGATTAAAGGTGTGCACCACCACTGCCTGGCTAGTTTCAAATTTCTTAAGGATGGGATTGCACAGTGCATATATCAAACACTCAATATTTTTCAAGAGCCACTCTTGTAGCCACGGACTTGCCAAGCCAGGTTTGCTGTGTCTGGCTTGTGTATTCTCTGCACTTTGGTGTGAGGCTAGCATTCCAGATTGCTTACAAAGGCAGGAAAATTTTGGAGGGAAGAACCTGAAGTAGCTTGAGGCCAGAGTACAGTGTGGTGGGAGGGGTTTGCTACAGAAATGCAGAGTGGGCGTGGAGAGGGAGCAATGAGAACTCACTTTTTAAGGCTGGAGGGGTATGCTTCCTTCAAAGCCACAGTTGCAAGTTGGACAAGCCTAAGTACCATTGTGATGCTACCAGGGGCCACACCCTATTTCTTTACTCCTTTTGGGGCTCCAGTTCAGCTCTGTGTGCCTAGGAAGACCAGGCAACAGAGTCCTCTGCAGAATACTGCCATAGGAGATGGAGACACAAGCTGGCCGGCCGGCGCTTCTGCTTTCCCACCAGAGGCATGCTGGCGGGCTGGCTTGGTGGTGAGGTTGCCAGTCCTGATAAAGCTCGCTGGCTGTCCCCCTATCTCACCCGCACTGGCAAGTGAGGTAGGTCTCTGTGGAGTCTATCCCACCATTACCAGAAAGCCTGACTTGGGCAATACCTCACTCTAGTATTTCAGCTTGGAGATGGCCAGGAGTCTCTTCTGTCCCTGAGATCTGACAGATGCTCCCCTGCTCTCTACTAGGTATAGTAGATGTTGGTGCCTGGAGTTGGCAGGCTGCCGTTTCACAGCCACAGAAAGACAAGACAGCATGCCATCCTCACACTGTAGACAAACCAGACTTTGCTGAGCATAACCTACTTCCTCAGCAGCCCTACTGAACAGGAGTCCGCACAATCCTCAGATGAGCAATGATAGCAGAGTGCGGTGGTTAAGACAATGTAGGCAATTGAACTAGGCAATTTAGGGGGCCAGACATTAGGTCTCACACATTGGGTCACAGTCCCTGGCTTCCGAGGTTTTATGTATGTATGTATGTATGTATGTATGTATGTATGTATGTATTGTTGTTATGGGTGGTGCCATCCCTGGGCTGCTAGTCCCGGGTTCTATTAAAAAGGTAACCTGAACAGGCCATGTGAAGCAAGCCAGTTAGCAGCTTCCCACCATGGTGTCTGTATCAGATTCTGCCTCTGGGATCCTGCCCTGTCTGAATTCCTGTCCTGACTTCCTTCAGTCATGAACAGTAATGCTGAAGTGTAAGCTAAATAAACCCTCTCCTCCCCAACTTGCCTTTTGGTCATGGTGTTTATTGCAGCAGTTAGAAACCCTAACTAGACACCAGGATACACTTAACTCTCGAACCCAGGCAGGCTGTGCATCGGCTGTCCTGCCTCTGGCCTGTAGGTAGCTGTTGTTACAGGTCTGTACCTCCAATAACATTGACACCAGAATACTGCAGCCCACTGGCCCTGCTCTCAGCCCCCTCCCCTGCTTTAGACATTTTTACCATGCTAAGGGCATCTTATAGCACTACTGCCCATCTCAGCTTGCTTCTTGTCTCCTCCTCTGCCCCATCCCACACCTAGATGAAGAAATCAGGAGGCTGGGTGGTGCAGTGGTTGGATACAAGGCTGTGCTGCTTATCTGCTGGGTGGCCTTGATCATGGAGTTTCACAGCTCTACCGGCTCAGTTATCTTTCTTTCAGATAAAGATACAACAGTGTCTGCATCGCTGAGTGGACAAGAAATTTGTGGGGAATACTTTCGTAGTACTTATCTGTAGTAAACCTTATCATCTCAACTCACCCTGCTGACACAAGACATGTTCTGGTGTTTAACGTCTTTGCTGCCTTTCCTCACTCACTAACCCTGGCTCTGTGCTCGCACACCTGCACTCCTGCCCAGACTCACACTGGCCTAATTCGGCTAGCTCATCTGTACAGGTTTCATCCTTTCTCTGAGCTATGTCCCTGCAATCAGCAGAGTGTAGAGGAGCACTAACATTGTCCATTGGCAATGACAGCATTCTCCCAGCAACTCTCCTCTTAATTCCTTTGCTGTCCAATGTCTCCACTCACAGCCACCTGTCCCAGCACCGAACATCCACGGCGACGCAGTGAAATATGAGCCAGGGTAAAGTTCCACAAAGCCTGCAGCCTTCCATACCTTAGGCCAAGTGGTTCATCAGGAAATGGGGATCTGAGGGAGCCCCTTAGCTACACAGGGATAACCAATTGGGAGCTTCATGACGGTGATCTGGATATAAAAGTTCAAGGGGTGAAAAGCTGAGGATGCCTATGATGGAATTTCACAAAGATGATCAAACATGAAGTGCTATGTGTAATGTATAATTTCGAGAGAGACACACCTAAAATGTGTGTTTTGTGCTAACAATCACCCTGGAGTTGCAAATCCATCCTATTGAAGTATACTTACTTTAACAAAGTCCTCAGGAAATGAGGCCAATGGATGCAGGTTCCAGTTAGAAGATTCAGTGAGTTGCTAGTAAAATGGACTGTTACTGAAAAAAATCAGCACATGATAAATAATGCAGTTTTCTTTATGAGCTAAAAAGCTAAGGGCTGGGGACACAGCTCTGTGGCAGAGCACCTGCCCAGCTCATGCCCTAGGCTGCACCTCCAGCATTGCAAAACAAGATTTTTTTTTTTTTTTTTTTTTTTTTTTGGTTTTTCGAGACAGGGTTTCTCTGTGTAGCTTTGCGCCTTTCCTGGAACTCACTTGGTAGCCCAGGCTGGCCTCGAACTCACAGAGATCCACCTGGCTCTGCCTCCCGAGTGCTGGGATTAGCAAAACAAGATTTTAAAAGGCAATTAAAACAAATTGTCAGTTAAAAATGAGTTTGAGGCGGGGCTGAAGAAATGGCTCAACTGAAGAGCACTGGCTGCTCTTCTGGAGGACCCAGGTTCAATTCCTGCCCCCACATGGCAGCTCACAACTGTAACTCCAGTTTCAGGAGATCTGATGCCCTTTTATGGCTTCTGCAGGCACCAGGCACATACACGGGGCACTGACATACACACAGGTAAGCATTTATACATATTAAATAATAAAGTAAATAAGTTTAGGAAGCCAGAGAGGTGGCTCAGTGGTTTAGAGCACTGATTCTTCCAGAGGACCTAGGTTTGATTCCCAGAACCCACATGGTGGTCACAACTATCTGTTAACTCCAGTCCCAGGAGATTTGAAGCCCTCTTCTGACTAATGCAGGCATTAGGCATGCTTGTGGCACACAGTCATACATGCAGGCAAAACGCTCCTACACATAAAATTAAAAGAAACAAAACCATAAAAATTAGTTTAGGATACTTTTTATTTTATATGCCTGAGTGTAAGTGTGTGCACCATGTGTGTGCAGTGCCCAAAGGAGGCCAGAAGAGGGCACCTCATTCCCCTGGGACTGGAGTGACAGGCAGTTGTGAGCCACCATGTGGATAGTAGGAACTGAACTGGGATCCTCCTGTGCTATTAATTGCTGAGCCATCTCTCCAGCCCCCTAATTCTTGTTTTTAAATATTTTTATCCTTTGAATATTTTATACATGTATACAATGTGTTTTGGTCACATTTCCCTCCTTTTCTCCCAGATCCACCTAATTCTCTATCCCCTTCCCAACTCCAATAACCCTGCTCTTGGAGAAAAGGGCTTCTCCCTCTCCTACCAGCCATCAACTGTCAACAGCTCTCAGCTAGGCTGAAAGTGATTGTCTTAGTAATAGTTCCAAGACAGAAATGTTTTCATATTTTTTTACATCTATTTTGTATGTTTCTATGTTTATGTAGAAGTGGATACTCCTGCCAAGCATGCATGTGGACACAGTGCTTAGTTTCTCAGTCCACCATGTAGGTTCTGAAGAACCGAACTCAGGTCCAGACTTAACAACAATATCCTTATCAGCTGAGGCATTTTGTTGGTCCCTGCACCATTTTTTTTCTTGTCTTTCTTTCTTTCTTTCTTTCTTTCTTTCTTTCTTTCTTTCTTTCTTTCTTTCTTTCTTTCTTTCTTTCCTTTCTTTCTTTCTTTCTTTCTTTCTTTCTTTCTTTCTTTTTCTTTCTCTCTCTCTCTCTCTCTCTCTCTCTCTCTCTCTCTCTCTCTCTCTCTCTCTTTCTTTTTTTTAAACTCTGCTCTCCCTTTTGACTCTGAGAAGCTTTGCAGGTCCCAGTTCTATTGGATAAGCCTTCCAATATATTTACTTGATTTTTTTCATAAAAGGTGATATATTTTTGAGGACAAATAATGCTAAAGACAACATGCCGTTTTATGGAACAGTGAGACAGGGATGTACCTGACCCACTAATGAAGCCTGGACAGAGCTTTGGCCTCCGATGACATGTCAAATGAATCACAGGGTATATTTATAGCTGATGGGTGCAAAGTCCCATGGCTGGGGCCTCGGCCAGGGTCTCCATAATGGGGGAGGGGTAACAGTGTCAGGGTGAAAGGTTAGTGGGGGCTTCAGCAGACAGAGGCTCTTGCCTTCAGCCCAGGTGGGATCCTAAGGCATGCTCTGATTGGCCAGTCTACCTGGCAGGTACAGAATGGGCAAGGTACTGGGGATGCCCTTCTAACCACCCTTTCACCTTTCTGTTGGCATCACACAGAGCCCGGTATAGCAGTTTGAGCTGCTGGGATTCACTGCTACCTGCTGTGGTCAGAACTGCAACCAAGCTTCATAAACAGACCAAACGGAGACATCTTCCCAGTCCAAGAAAGGCAAGTGGGGCATCCAACCACAGCATACAACTGGAAGGGCAACTTCTACTTCTGGCCGTTGGGAAGCGTGCAAATTGGCACCAGTGTTGGCCAGTTTCCCAGATCCTGCAGGCTGAGGAGCACAGAAGTCAGGAAGTCCTTCACTTCACAGATGCTTCACTCCATCCAGCTGGCAGAGCTGGGTTAGTAGAGGTCTAGTCCCAGGAGGGCAGGGGTGAGGCAGAGGGTAAGCATATGATGGTGCGCACACACCTAATGCATCGGAGGAAGGAGCCTCCAATGAGCCACTAACACAGTCATATGGAAGTGTGGCTCCCATTTTGAAAATTCCTTTTTTGGACGGTGGAGGCTGGGGAATGAACCTTACCAATGTTCACAAATGCCCCAAGATTGAGCTACTGTCAGCCCGGTAACCCGGTCTTCTAGGAAGCAAGTGTTACAGGAGGTCAGCGAGCTGGGACTCCAAGACTCCTGCACCCAGGGAGCAGCAAGGAGCACAGGGGCAGCTACAGAAGCAGAAACACCAGCACAAGTGCACTGTGAGATTAACTAGGCCACATGGGCTGGGTGGCGGCGGCGGCGCACACCTTTAACCTCAGTGCTTCGCAGACAAGGCAGGCGGATCTCGAGGCCAACCTGGTTTATAGAGTGAGTTCCAGGACAGCCAAGGATACATCGAGAAACCCTGTGGTGGTAATCTAATTGTATTGAAATATTATTTTGATTTGTACTGAAATATTAATTTGATTGTATGTTAATAAATAAAGTTGTCTGGGGGTCAGAGCTATTAGAGCCATAGCAAGAGTGTGGCGGTGGTGGCACACGCCTTTAATCCCATAGATATCTGTGTGTTCAGGGTCAGAGC